AGCCACTATGATTTCATTTGTTAAACATTTTATAACAATTTATGTCTGAAAGTGCATATTTTGAGACAACTATTTTCAGTCGCTCATAGCAGAAGGTGTATTAAGTCGACCTGAGGGGAAGACGCATCTATTAGGTTATAAGAAAATCTATCAGTTTCATTCACATGTCAGTTTACCTCAGCTGCAAGGGGTGTGTACACGGTGTCTTTCATGCGTGATCTGGTGAGGATGTTTTACCCAGAGCCCTCAGCTAGGGTGTGTCTAGTAAAACAAACGAGACCAGCACCAATGTTGAGGACTGGCAGAGCTATTTATTTTGGGGAATTGTTTATCGCTATAGCTTAGCCTAGTGGGGTGGCGGTGACCCTGAGACGTGGCCAGCCAGAAGTTTAGACCCAGCAAGCTTGTCGTTGGCAAACACTCTCATGATAGCTTGCCACTTTCAGCAGCATCTGGTCGTCCTTCACTAATATAGGGACCATGTGTTCCAATGCAGCAATGAAAAACAGGTACAACGATAATTGCTAGTCATCATACTCTTCGTCGGTTTTTCATCTTTTCCGGCTGTCCTAGAAAAAAAGAAATTATAGGTGCATTTCGAAATATACTCGAACATGGTTAAGGACACAGCGTATTAAAAAAGAAAACTGGTATACGCACGCGTAGATAACATGTGATAGAATAAACATATTGCACAATGCTTATTTTGGACAACTTTTAGGAAAAAATACACTCACATGAGCATATTGGAGGGAAAACACTTTTATTACTCTCTGTTTTACACAACAACAGAAATAAACGAGAGTGAACAGATATTGTGCAGTATCCTACTCTCATTGGTCCTTTAAGTGTTCTGAAACCCTTACACTTCTTTCAGAGTGCATTGCTTTTAGCCGGTTGTTAGGTTCCAGAAAAGTTTCTTTGTTATTGTCGATTATCTAGCGGTCTATTGTGATTGTGAGACTCATGCCGTTCAAGTGTACAGAGGAAAACTCAAAGCTAATAGGGGTACTTTCCGGACAGTCAACGCTGACATTATCGTTAGTTCCGTTCCCACCGATAATACAGTATTCAAGTTTGCGATGAAAGACTTTGAAGGGTCTTTCGTGTGCCATTTCGAGAGGTCGACGAAATGAATCACGATGTACAAAAAGGAGTGTACTATATCGTAGGGTAGGTTGAACGAAAACATCAGCCAGGTGGTTGCTCGAATACCTAGGTTAGGAGGACTGTGCAACGCATTGAAGACCCTGCGTCGACTATGTTTCGGAACTACTGGACGATGAGATGTCACATAGTAAAGTTGATCATACTTAAGCGTTTGAATGTGGTCATTTCCGGGTAATCCAGAATGGTAGCCACTTTGCTTTTCAGAGGGCGCATGCATCGAACAGCAACAATTCACCAGAGGATGTTCAGATAGTCGGTTCCGGTCTGATATTTCTGAATATTTACACTACTGCCATATTTTTGTGGTCATTCGAAAACAAGTTCCAGATGATCCAAATGAGCAGTCATCAACAAACTGTCGTCTGCGCACGTGTGTACGGAGTTGTGACATCGAAAAACGTTGTTGATGAATCTCTCGAACGTTTGTGCAGCAGTGTGGTTTAACCCGATGAACTTTCGAAAAAAACGGTTGCACATTTTAGGGTAGCTATCCGGTCGCGGGTTTATGACAGAGGTGAACTGTTGGCAGTGGTTTTTTTGTATTCGGCCGTTGATAACCATCATTTGGACAACAATCCGTGCTGTCTTTTGTAGAGACCAGATGTAAAGGAGTTGCTCACGGATCTTTCGATAGCTGAATATTTCCAAAGTCTACCATATGCTCAAACAGGTTTTTGACTAATCCCAAGTTTTCATGGGCTAATCGGATCGCTCTCGAAAATACATGTGGTCCTGTAGTCGTGATGAGGTGCGTAACATTCCTGGCTACACACAGCAGTTTCGGTCACGTTTTGTAAAATCCAGAGCATCTGTTGGATATCTGTTGAAAATATGGATCATTCATATGTTTAGCCGTGACCGGGCATAAACTTTAACCAGAAAATAAAGCTCTACAAACAGATTATCTGGTATTTCCGTCCACTTACCTCCATTTGCTCGGGTTAATGAACTGATCATAATGTTGTAGCAGGTCTATACCAGTTGCTGAGATAAAAACGTGTGCAACAACAAAAATCCAGGTAAAAGGGTTTACGTAAACTCACGTTAAGATAAATATATCGCTTACCGTTTGTGCTCATCGGTTTTCCGCTTGCGGCCTGTAGACTGGAGACCAGTTCACCCAGACAGTCGTTAGAATCCGTAGGAAGAACTCTTATTTCTGCACCAGCGTCACTACATCAGTGATGTATAACGGACGTTTGTTTTCACTGGCTGAGGCTGACGTTAACGCGTGCTGGTAGGGGAGTTTCCCGAAAATGTTTTCGCATTGGACAGTTTAAAGATTAAGAAACTGCAGGGTTTTCTGCAATTTCTAGAAGACATACCATCGGTGTTGTGGTGCCAACAGTAATCAGGATCATTTGCCTCTCGTGATCTCGAGACAGATCGTTTCTTAGCCACCTTCTTCAAGGGGTTCGGGAATGTCTGTGTTTACGATGAATATTAAGGTAACGAGTGGAAGCATTACAGAGATCTGCAATGTCATTCTGTGTCATCTGAGGCTTTTCTTTAACAGAACAAACCTCACTTCATGGAGTCTGGTAATCTCCGGAATCTGACCGTCAAGTTCAGCTAGACCGTCCACGGCCTTATTTTGGAGTGACACAAGAACTGTCTGCATCTGTTGGAGAGGCTTAAACAAGAAGAGCTGCCTAAACAGACCCTCGTCAAAGGTCTGTAGACCAATGACCTCCCTCCTTCGTGGCAACATTTCTGTCTCTGAGCCATCCTAAAACTTTATATTGCGTGATAGCTGGTCTTATCTTCGTCGGTTGGTTAGGTCTCTACGTATAAGTATAGCCTTGTCGAAGTGTCATGAGGTTCGAGGACATCACTAGTAAACGTACTAGGTGTGGCATACCTGCTGAAACCGCGTAGTGGTACCTTCACTACCGTGATGTTATGTGCACGTGAGTCTACCACGCCGTGCTTGTGGAAGTCAACTACTGAGTAGCAGAACTGGTCCTCCATGTTGTCAGGCCAGAATAGAATGAGTTGAAAGGCAGGGCGGCTAGTCTTGATCTTAAACACCTTAGGTGTCTGTTCCGTCATAATGAAGATGAGATATACAAATAGGCCAGAAAAAAAGTACCTGAAAATATAATAACAATATCATTTTATAAAAATGGGAATTAAAATATATATATTACCTTCCAGTAAGAAACAAGGAAGGCTATTTATATGTTGAGAGGCGTTTGATCTGTGCTGGCCAACAGGTACACATGCTTGATCCGGTACGGATTCATGATGGAGTTACCTCATCTAGAATATTTCTAGTAAAACTAATGAGGTCAGCATCAATGCCAAAGACTTACAGAACCATTTATTTTGGCAATTTATTTACTACTACAAAATATTGTGATGAAAATATGACTACTTTTCAGTACCTGGAATCAGTTACAATCAGTGTCTACTATCAGTGTTTTTGCGGGATTAAGATTCATTCTGTAAGTCTTCGATATTGATGCTGGTCTCATTGTTTTACTAAACACACCCTAGCTGGGGGCTCTGAGTAAAACATCCGCACCGCACCACGCATGAAAGACACCGTGCACGCACCCCTTGAAACTGTTGAAAAGCTTAAATCAAACAATTCCCGATGTATCAATAGCCATCCAAATATATCTTCAAACCCCTTATCCCTGTCGTTTGGTTTGACCGGTTCGGTATACCTCGATTATAAAGGTGTTACATGTAAAGACATTATCACACTCCAAATACCTGTGGCATCTTTACATTATATTCTGTCTGGTGGTGTCGACCCCGTGGACTGACTTATTCTTTTCTGGACTTGACATGTCCTAGAAAGCATGCCTCAAGCTAGAGACGCAGTTGCTTCGGCTTATGTTTATATCATACTGATGCAATAAGTTGAAGACTATTTTCATACGATTTTCATTTTATTTGAATCAGACCCAGATAATTACTGGGGACTGTCTGCTACCAAGTGTTCGACCCTTGAATGACAATCACTTGTCCTCCTTGCTTAATAACTGCAGATATCGGTGGGTTATTTATTTTAAAGCTAAAATGTTCTGACAGTATATCGTGTAACCTAGCCTTCCACACTAGGATATTTTGTGCCAGGCTCTTAGAATCGATTTAACCCTATGGGCCAAAGGTATGACCTTAAGGTGTTAGATGTGTTGACCATGGTTACAGGTCCTCGCGTCTCTGAAAGGTCTAATGGAACCGTTGCTGTCTCCTAATATGTTGCAATAAGCACCCAACGCCACAGTTCTTCAGTTATTTTTGTTCGAAAGTTTTAATATTGATTTGTTAGCTGCCTGATGCGAAAAATTGATAAGGTTTTCATTCCAGCTGGGCTTTATATTAAGAGATGATGGCAAGTCCACCAAATACTCTACATCGCCCTAAAACCAGACATCAAATGTGTGCCCCTTCAACCACTCTTTCTGTGTACCCCAGTATGTGGGATAGAATTATTCCTTTTTCAAGCTATTAGATGTTGATTCAAATTAAGTGGATGGTCAGGCATACTTGGCTAACTTAGGAACGAATTTTTGGATAGTCCAGGCAAACTTTCTCAGAGCTCTCGAACTATCCTGGTTAGCCCTGCGGTTTTTGCAGCTTACGGAGTGTTGGTTCAATCATTTTTACAAATCCTAGTCATATCTAAGCATCGGTCTCTGTGAGAAATGATGACTGGTTTAACTAGGACTCAGTTATATTTCATTGGCCCTACAGACTGTAAAAAAAGAACCCAATAAAAACAAGCTCCATTATTAGGATTTTTATTCAAATATGGGTTAGAGGCCTTTGAAAAATAGTAACTGATCACAAATGATATATAAATTTTATCTAACCAACTGTAGCGTTACTTCGAAGTCTATTGTTGGACGTATTTGCGCGGGATTGTATATCTGATCTCGTAGCTGTTAGGTTGGCGGTTAGCCAGCCTGTCTGATAGGTGTTTTATCTCCCTCTTTATATTCGGCCCTGGTCAGAAGTAATATAGATATACGTACCGGTTCTCAATAATTTAACCAGAATATTGTTGTATATATATGTCACGTCGGATATGTATGCCACATCCAAATTAATTATTCCACCCAAACCTGCAAGGGATACACCTTTTATTCCGAAGTTAAGGATTCGCCTGCGCCACTCACCTAGCAGTCATTGTGGTGCTCGCGACCAGGTTTACAATGTCGCACACAATGAGTCTCCACATTTAATTGGAAATTTTGATGATCATGATTCATTTCATACAAACATTGAGTCTTTGGTGGGCGTTTGCTCTTTTTCAATGTTGAGAAATACTGCTCAAAAAGGTTCTCATACCAACTCCTTTGCCAAGCTAAGCAAATCACGACGAAGACAGTTGTCTAGTTTTACTTCTGGATGTACTATTAGGAGAGCCACAAGCAAAAGAAAACAGTCATCTGCGTTTGTAGATACACTGGATCTGGAGAATCCTGATTCACTTTTGACGAAGGTTAATCTAAAGGTAAGTATCATTGTTTTTTTTAAAATTAATGCTCTACTGTCATACCGCACTTATATGTTATGTTTGACTGTCCTCATTTCAATTTCTTCGTAGTATCAAGTCAACTGGCATATGATTCTCAGATGGTGTTATATCAAGTTAGGTCGCGTAGCTGCTTGTGATGTCTTCATCTGAATCTCCCAATTTCGGGGAAAATTTGGTGAGACTATAGTTTATTGACGAAGTTTAGGCGACTCGGAAGTGACCATGTGGGTGGACACCTACTGATTAGGACTAAATGGAAGTTATAAAGCAGTTAGAATTCTCATTTTCAGTTGATGGTTAGGGTTAAAAACTAGATTTAGGGTTCTCATCACTAACTGACATCAGTTATAATGCCAAAACTCTATTTAGCCAAATATATGGGTGAATTTCGCGCCAAAACTCGTGACTGGTTATCTTATATGTGTTTGGTTCGTCCATAAATTATAGTCTCCGAAAGTTTTATCCGTTTTGGGGAGGACTATTAGACTTTGGAGGAAGCCCCAAAATAGAGATTAGGATCTTGACTACGAGTTATTCATATGCTAAAAAGTTCACTTAAACACCTTTTTACTGTTGTTCGTATGAGTGCTTGTGGCAGACCTAAATATTATTGAAGGAGGCTTGATGGGAATGGTAGCCGGAAATGCACCTCACAGATATAAACTCATCCACTCAGTCTACATTTATCAGATGTTCACATAGGTGTTTGGATATATTCCACTCAGATATGCATGCGCACGCAGTACATGTGAGTCGCTATATCTCTCATTACATGCTGTGACTTCAAAGACTAAGGGAAGTTGGAGTGTCTTGTTTATCCACACTTCGTAATAATATGAAACGAAAAGCTAGGGGCAGAAATGTACCAAAACCAAGGGTATGAGCGCCAAATGGCAAATAGTTGGTACTAAGATATTCATGGTTTAGATGGAGATTAGGCATGAACTCAACTGTATCACTGACAAATTTTATAGCATACTGTAAGTTGTTTTCGATACGTAATATTGAGTGTTTCACTCAGCAGGCTTACTTATTATGTACAACTTTGGTAAGAATTCAGTGAACTCAGAATGATCAGTCCTTGAAATAGCTGAACAAGAGTGAATATAGTTAATAATAGTAATAAAAACCACATGGTAGTTAAAAGGTCTCTGTTTCTAAATAAATATACGACTAGTATTTTTCAGCTCACACTACCAAACACTTCATTGTGTAGTGTTTAGTGCTTCTCTTGGTGAGACTATAATTTATGGATGACTTGAGCGATGCTGAAATGACCTTGAGAATGCCCACCTACTAACTAGGACTAAATGTCGACCGCTACCTTGACGTGGTGGTCTGGCTTGCCTATCGTGATGATCTAATCGAGCTATATTGGCTGCAATATAGGTTCCTGTAGGTTCTACCATGTCAGTTAAGTTGATTAAATATCGGTAAGACTAGAAACAGTAACCCTAGATCTGAGGCGAAGTCGTACTGCTGACTATATATGGGTGTGACAGCAGTAAGGTGTTTCCTTCGGACAACCAGCATTTGCAGCGGTGCTGTCCTCTCACAAAAAAGGAAGAGGTCAGAAAAGGTCGACCCTAAAAATATCACACCTCACCTTACCTCACGGATTTCCGTCTCCGGCGGTAAGGCCTTTTAAAGAACGGAGCTAATACGTTAAAAACTCCCTACAAAAAGGCCGTGCGTGACCGGCCTCAAGTAGTTGTCCCTTGGGCTCTGCGGTCAAGCTCTCAGGTCGTTAAGACCAACACTAATCTAACTTCCTTTTCAGGTTCCACAATAAAATACCCTTCCACGGTGTAGGCGACCAGGAAGTGACATCACTCATACCCGTATCAGCACACGAGAGCAAGTTGGTCACAATCAAATCCTTACTACACCTCCTAATAACGTCTTTCTTTTTATGAAGAAAGTAAAGTTGCAGCAGGATCTCCATTGGCTTCTATTCTGAGCCATATCTGATAATGTCTCTAGCCACTGTGTTCCATTATCTCTCAGACCCCAACCAGGGAGTCATGAAGAACCAACAGAAGCCAGCCCTTTGCAGCTTTCTTTCATACCACAACACCATGTCATACATTGACCACCTCTGCTTTTCCCAACCAGTCCCAGCGTTGACAAATAATGCACGACTTGGAATTCTCTGGGACGACATTCGTAGAATATGTCCAAGCCACCGAAGTCGATGTTTCAAGATAGTGACACCAATTGAATTATCGTCTCTGTGCGCGAACACACGATGCTGAACCTCTGCAGTACTAACATGGTGTTGCCACTGGATGTCAAAAATCCTTCGGAGACAACGATGATCAAACACAAACAGTCATCTAACATCCTCAACACGGAGAGGCCAGGTTTCACAAGCATAGAGCAAAACTGCTCTCACCGACGCGTTGTAGATCCGACCGTTTACAGCCAGACTGACATCACGAAGACACCGAATTCGGCGAAAATTGGCATAAGCCTCTCTGGCTTTCACCATACGTGCATTGATCTCATCACTCACGCCACCACCAGCACTTATGCAGCTACCCAGATACACGAACTTCTCGACTACTATCTGCTCATTGCCCAGAGTGAGTGCAGGATCAGGGTCCTGGCAGTCTTGTAAAAGTACTTTGCACTTCGAAGGTGAGAAGCACATACCATACCTACGGACATTAATTGCTAACTAATTAAGTGCGGATTGCATGGCTTGGGTATTATCGCGCGGTAAGACAATATCATCCGCATACTCAAGGTCGAGAATTCTTTCTTCAGGGAACAGATCCACATCGCCATTACTTACATCCATCAGAGCTGTTTCTAGAACGTCGTCGATAGCAAACTTGTAGAGGAATGGTGAGATTGGGCAACCCTGTCTAACCCCACTGCTCGGATGGAACAATGGAGAAAGGTGGTTGTATGCGCTCACTCTACCTGAGGTGTTTGGATATAGGGCTTTTAAGATGTTAATAAACTTCTCAGGCATACTCTTTTTCAATAGACAATCCAAGAGAACAGTCCCGTCCAACGAATCGAAAGCGGCCCTGATGTCAAGAAACACTACGATTGCTCCTGGAACTACTCTGCCCATCGTACAAGACGTCGTTTGATGTTAGTGATTAACATCCCTTCATCCTCATAAATTGTTTCGCTCACACCAGACTTCTTGCTGCCAGTGTCTTGGATGAGTTGAAAGAGCTTCCGGCAGTTACCAGATGCAGCTGTTGCTTCAAACTCATTGGAACGCTCCGACCACCAGACTTCTCGGTCCTGACACAAGCTTTTCCCAATTTCATTACGTAACAGTCGTCGTTTGTAGTCAAACTCACGGTCACCCAGAGTAGACCGACGGGCTTCAGTGAATTGTAAGGAGCCAGGAGAAACCCAGTGCTTACAAGCGGGACGTTTCGCGAAGCCGCAAGCGACTTTACTTGCCATTCTCATGGCGTCATGCAATTGCAGCCAATGTTCATCTATACGTTTCGGTGGATTGCTAGCTAGCCTAGAAGGTAGCTCGGTTTGACATTTAGTTGCAACCAATTTGCTGACATCGATCCGTTTAGGAGGATGAATTTGTTGACCACTGAAAAGTAAGATAAGATTAGCGCAAACAAGTGCATGATCAGAGTCCTGATAGGTAAGGAGCCTGTAAAAGACTCAATGCTTCTGAGCAGGACGCTTCACGAAGCCAAAAGTGACTTTGCTCTCCATTTTCATAGTGTCATGCAGAGCGGTCATTTTCTATCCATACTTTTCAGTGGGTTAATACCTAGCCTTGAATCATGTTTGGTTTGATATTTAGTTGCAACAGAAGCTGTAACTAGTTTAGTGATAACGACCCGTTTAGGACAATGAATTTGTCGGCCACTGAAACGCAAGGTAAGATTAGCGCGAACAAGTGCATGGTCGGAGTCCAGATAGGTACTACAAAAGGAGTGGCAGTCTTGTACCTTGGGATTTCTTTTCACATGAATTACAACAATGTAAGGCGTCACTTGAAAACCACTAATTCCATGTAAGGGACATCCTGTCAATGTGTGAATGGTGTATCCAAGGTCATTAATCACAAAACTAGTGAAAAGAAAGCTGAAGTAGAACAGTACAACAGCAATCAGTCAGTCATCTACAACGTAGGACCAGGCACATATGTGCATCGGTCCAAGTAGCTGTACCTCATTAGCACAACAAAATGAACAATAAATTCATGAAGTAGTCTCTTCAATGGTAATAATGTATAAAAAAGACTGTGTATGAAGATATGACAAAGGGAGAAAAAATGTGTTCGTGGAAAGAAAAGTATAAGGTAATTTTAATCTCATCGTTTAAGGCAGACAAAGAGTGTATACACCTTTCGCCCGGTGTCCAACCATTGGTTATGATAGTCTCGCGGACCCCAACAAAGTAGTCTGCGTCTACCAACATGGCTTAGACTAAAAGTTAGTGACTTCAAGCACTGATACCACGTTTTGGTTTAGCCGCCCCCAACTTTCTTCCAACCATCCCCAACACTAGTCAGCATTGCGCATCGTGGTAGTCGGTGGTTGGGCATGTGTAATACATGACCCAACCATCCCAGTCGATGAAGATTCACAACCTCATCAACTGATTTGCCACCACCCCCTAATACCCTGCTCCAACCTCACTACTACTTACCTGGTGATCCCAGCAGATGTGGGCAATATTTCTAAGACATCTGTGATCGAATACTGTTAACTTGCGGGTATCGTCTAACCTTAATGACCACCTTTACCAGCCGTAAGGTAAACACAACGAACTACTACGCAGTATACTCGTCCTTTAATTGACAGACAGATATCTCGCCTTCGCCATAGGTGACGTAAGTTGGCGAAAGCCAAACAAGCTTTCTGAATCCGTGCTGAGATTTCGTCAGACACCAACCCATTAGGGCTGATCAGACTTCCAAGATAAGTGAAGTTATCGACACGTTAGACTGCTTCACTCTCTATCTTTAGTTCAGGCGTTGACGCAGGCCAGTCCTGAAGCAACAATTTGCATTTAGAGGGAGAGAAGCGCATCCCAAACATTCTGGTATTGTTGCTCAGCGCTACCAAAAGACTGCATTTTATCAGCGTCTTCACCAAACAGGACTATATCATCTGTATATTCTAAATCGATAAATGAACGTGCTGGTAAGAGATCAATTCCCGAAAATTCAGACGACGAGAACGTTATTCCCAGTAGTAGGGCAATGATGAAATTGAACTGAAATGGCGATAGTGGGCAGCTTTGCCGGACACCTTGAAATTACAAAATCAGATAACAGTTCACCACAAGCTCTGACTGTAATGATAATGTTCGAATAAAGAGCCTTCACAAGGTTTATGTACTTCTGAGGTACACCTTTCAATGACAGATACTGTCACAGAACCTCTCAGTCTGCAGAGTGCTGCTTCTAAGTCAAGAAAGACTATCATTGTCGGATGACGATAAGCATGCCTGTGTTCTAGAACCGAACGAATGGTGACTATGTGGTGAATGCAGCTACGATCAGGTCCAAAGCTAGCCTGGCTTTGTCGTGTCTGCGGTTCACCAGTCTTTGTTAGGCACCCGATAATTATTGAGGCTAGCATTTTAGATGCTATATTGTTCAAGCTAATTCTATGGTTCAAATAAATAAATTAATAAGTGAGATGTGGCAACTTGGACCGTTGCATATATGTGCCTAGTCCTACGTTGTAGCTGACTGACTGACATCTGGACCGCCTGCTCTTCGTCGTTTCAGATTAACTATAGTTTTTTAAACTTCAGTTAGAGTCGGTGGACCTATTTCAATGTTCTATTCAGGCTGTTCGGAAATGGTGGGTAGCTATAGAGTAAATGAAGGCCAGCTGAAATCCTTCTTAAAGTGTTCCGCCCATCGTTCTAAACGTCTGAACTGAGAGCAGATAAGAGTGCCGTCTTTTTCCGAGATTGTCTCACACTTGACTTTCCAATTCCCGTCCCTTAGTCTGAAGAGCTGTCTTGTGTTACCTACAGCTGCTGCCTTTTTCATCTCTTTTACTTTCGTTGCCCACCACTGCTCATGATCGTTCCTTAGATTTTTGGTTAGCTTGTGTCTGATTTGTCTCCGCTCTCTATCGTGTTCGTAGCTTGATGAGTAAGTTTACGTGAGTCTATCAGTGCAATAGATGTCACAGAAATCCACTGGTTTTTCCTGACCCTTCAAATCACTGATAGATGTCTCTACTGTTTCCACAGCTGTCTATATCTTTCCAAGCAACATCTGGGTTAGCCTCGTTTTCAAAATTGTTCCTGGGATTCACCTTTGCTTTCTCATGGCTGAGCTCAACTCTAGTGGGTCTTCTTAATGGCGCAAGCAAATGTGTGCTCGTTTTAGAGCATGATCAGAGTCTAAACATGTATTCCAGAACGAGAGGCAGTCTTCTACCGAGCCTCTTCAACGGTAACTGTTGGCAGCATGGTCGATTTGAGTCCATCGTTGGTTTGGTGCAAGGGGTCGCTGTATTAAACGATGTCTCTCCTTATGCTTAAAATTAGTGTCTGCTAAAAATAAGCGATTATCTGAGCTCATTTTCAGCAGACGGTCACGATTATTTGTTCGCTGAAACAGAATATCAAAATACCCACCTAAGTGTCTTTCTGTTTGGTTTAAGCTACCTACTTGGGCAATAAAGTCACCTGCTACGAGTACTATTGTAGTGGCTTTGCTTCTTTGATCAATCATCTTTTGTAACCATTATTATATCATTCTCAAAGGTGTTTGAAATCAGAAAGCAATAAGAAGCGGCAACTACAGTTTATTAGCGGATAGCACAGACAACAGTTATGAGCACATCAAGCGAATTCGAAACAGAAGTGAACGTGTGTGTACGAGCAAATACAGAGGCAAATATATAGTCAAATCGCATAAGGGCACAGAAAGACTAATAGTAGGATTCGCGTACATGAAGAAGACAATGAATCATCGGGCGGTATTTATGCTATCAAAACTTTAGCTAGAGTCTGTCATGTGATCAAGCTTACATGTTTATGCAGACATGGTAGGATTACAATGGTACAAATAATTATGCGCATTGTTACTATACGGATAACGTCTGTTAAGGTAAGCTAATAAAAGGGTTTAACCAAAACGTAACCATAATCAAAATTGATTGTAGGAGAGTCGCTATACTATGTCTGAGTGTTCAGCTTTCTGAAGAAGTTCAGTAAGCTGTCTGTAAAATTCATTTTTCACTTCATCCAGTCTACAGTCAGTGGGAGCGTAGGCAGAAATGACGAAAAGTCGACGTGTGTGCTTATCCTTCCGAGTTCTTACGGAGCCATTTAACCGAATAGCACATGGACGACTGTTAACAAGGATCCACTTTAAAAGTGCTGATTCTGCCCTCATACTTAGTGCTATACCTACACCTACCAGTCCACGAGAATTTGCCGTCGGGTCTTCACGGAAATCCGTGGGTAAGGCGTGGTGTGTATTTTTAGGGTCGGCGTTTTTTAACCCCACCCTTCCTTTGTGGGAAGACAGCATCGCTGTTATGCTGATTGTCTGAGGAAGACATACTACTGCCGTCACACCTCTGTACAGTCAGCAGTACGACTTCGCCCTTGGACCTTGAGTTTGCTCCTTTTAGTCGTACTAGGTGAACTCAGTCACAATAATGATCAAACATTTGAAGTTCCTATAATGTCACTGGTGAAATATAATTTGTTTAAGGATTCCACTGCATGAGATCGTGCTCTGATGTAGTTTCTTTCTGCCCCTAGTGTAGAGTTTCATATCTTTGTTATATGTCATGGTTTTTAATTTGATAATGTTAACCATTCATTTGTCACTGCAAAATATTCGTGTATATATAATCACAATCCCATCTCACAAAATAAACTTCCAATCTGGAAGTATTGCCGTGGAATAGTGAACCATTTTACCATTTGTCTTATTTTATCAAAAGTTAAAAAAAAGTAAAAGGTCAATTTTGTATGTCTTCAGTCTTCTTTATTTCTCTACTAACCCATTTTGCTCTTTTTCAGTTGCTCATTAATAGGGAGACATTTTATTCTCTACCTTTGGATGTCCAGCAGATGCTGTCTCAACTTTTACCACTGTTTGATCATTGCAGAGAGATGTCTCTTAATAATTCTGTTTTAATTGATGAAAATGATTATAGTCCATCACTTTCTTTATCTTCTGGGATTGAATCATCTGAGCAGTCAAATACTGTATGGTTACATCCTACTGCCCTCAACAACGAATTTTTTACAAAAGCCCTCCAAGACTTTTCTGATCGCCAAGCTAAAGGTGAATTCACCCCACGTATCCGTAACCGAGCTGGTCTACGAGCCCATGTAGGCAACCGGTATAGATACACTTCTTCCAGTGATATGCTCCAATCAAGTACAAACAATAATAAAAAAAAGACATTTGTTCATGAAATACGTACTAAGAAATCGGTAAGTACTGTTTCTATCAAGATCCAATTTATCAAAATCGATAAATATGATCCTGCCAACTCATCAGAATTATAGCTATTTGTTACTTGATTTTAGGGATATGTAGATTTTATGGTAAATACACTTTAAAGATGGTAGTGTTTAAATAGTTGAAAAACATGAACTTCTTAGATTACTTTTCATATTTGTTAAAAATTGAATGATTCACATAAACTTTCCGGAGATATTGAGCTTGAATCAGAACAACAGACACATTAATTGTCAGTTGAAACAAGTACAAAGAACGTTTTTTTCCAGAGGACTGAACAACGAAGTAAAATTATTGCTATGGTTATGTGATATTCTTATGATGTTTTCTAAGCAAAGTAATGAGTTTTAGGGACTAAGTTAGTTTCATTTTCTAAATCATGAGTATTTCCATACACTGGATATCTCGTTGCTTTTTGGTGTTCTTTCTTCCGCCTCCTGTCACGTAAACATGTGCATTCTAAATGAGCATCATTAAATCATTCCACCACCTATTGGGAGGTTATTTTTGTTTCAGTACTATCAGTCCCTGTATGGTGCATCGTCAGTTTTCCCGTTTTATAAATGTCTTCGTAATAATAACTGGTTTCACAAAAGCAATTAAAACTGTCGATTTAGACCTGTAAAGTTAATTCTCGATGTGGCATATCCTACTTGTTTTTATGTTTTTTTTTTCACTAGACGTTCATCTTATGGTAGAATTAATTTACGTCCCCATATTGCTTAACTCTGCTACGTTAATTGATCAAACAAACTTTTTTAATGAGTTGATTTATCAGGTTTGGATCTCTAACAGAGTGTATTTTGACCATCATATCAAACATCTGATTCTGTATTTTGTTTAAAATTTAAGAACTTGGCACAACAGAAGCTACTATTGAGAAAAGAAAATGATAATTTATTGAAGGTATTAACAAATTTTAGATTAATCGGAATTGTGATCAAACAAGCGCTCTTTATATGAAAAGCGACAGAAGTATGTAGTTGGATTTTCAGTAGTCTCAACCACAAACTATGTTTAAAAATGCTATTATCCCTATGCAGTTCACTGGCTTAAGGCATCATCAAACATGGCTCAAAATATAAGCTTTCTTTTAGGTAAGAGAAACTCGCTTGACTGGAAGAAGTCTTTCTTGACCATGTTAAAAAGGAAACGAATATATAATTCAGGGAAGAATTATAAGTAAGTCTTCATTTACAGTCTTGTTTTCTTCTTTGCGTCGGCATAGCGACCGTGTTCCGTTGCAGTAAGCAGCAGGTAGCAGTTATCTCGCAGTCATACCAACACAGCCTTACTGGTAGCTGTAGCAGTAATCGGCGTTTAGTTCAAGTCGCAACAGTGACATCTCAATCTTCTCCCAAGTCTTTACAATTGTTATTTTTTATCAGCTGGATCTTATATGCTATTCTTAGTTGCATCTTTCTCCTCATCCTTCCCAAAATGAGGCTGGTTGTGTATATGGTTTACCTATAAGGAGGTTATACGTGCTTCATTCCTCCCAATTAAAGTTACTTTACATAGACAATGGCTAATCTGACTGCTTAATCTATATGCAATCACAAGTAACGGTCATCATTTTCAGTGACGTCTTACTGGTCCTGGCAACACAACACTACTTTCGTTTGTTTGTTCCAAACTGGTCAAAAGCAAAATTAGAGGGAAGTAGCTTAGCCAATCAACCTTGCCTGACCCTAGTACAGAGGTGAAAAAAAACGGTAGTCCCTTTAATATTAAGATTTTTTGCAACCGAAGGTCCAGGTAAGTCTGGTACGATAATCTCTTATCAAAATACGGTAATAGCTCAAACAAAGGTTTCGAGTTGCTGTCACTCAAACACCGTTTGGAATATTCTGTCTTAACGTGAATACTGATCTTGTCACGTTTTCCCCTAACTAATTATCTACTAAATTCCTTTTGGATTGAAAAATATGTACTATTGTGTCTCTTGTTTAGTACTTCGAATTTGTGAGCCACATAGTTTTGCTCATTTGTATAACTGGTAATCACTTTTTTGTTTTCTTAAAGTCTGGTCAAACAAATTCACGTCGTTCATCCCGATCGAAACCAAAGAATTTCAATTGCAGCGCACCCAACAACGATTTTCATCATCCATCACTTTTTACCAACTCACCACCAGTTGATACCTCTCTTATTTCTTCAACACTTTCTGTTTCTGGTTCATCTGTTAAGAATTCTCAAAGCAAAAGAAATCGAAGCACAAGACCTTCATATTTGCAGAATGATGGTAACAATGAATCTATGGTAGTCTGCTCCCCTTCAACAATACAACTAAGAGAAAGATTGAAAGAGAAGTCAGAATGTTCTATGGAATCCAACGACATTGAGTTTGAAGGTAGTATTGAGAATAAAACCTCGGATTTATCAGAACTCTGCACTTTTCCTCTGGATGATACTTTAAATAACAGTATACCCAGCTCGGGCAAATCATTTTATCCAGCTGATCTGGAAAACAGTGAATTCACAGATTCTGTTTGTTGTTTATCGGATAGAAATCGTGATGATCGTTCTCTTTCATTAAGTCCTGCCTACAACGGGCCATTAGTTTCACCTTCATCTGTAGGGGATTCAAATAAAGGTTTAAAACTTTGTGATAAGACCCTTGAGTCGGAAGACCTTAAGTTAACAGATTCTCCAAACACGAAGCCAGTGAGTCCTAGTATTTGTCGATAATTCTTATGGCACTTACTATTATAATTTTTTTAAACTGAGCAAGTTTTTGATTCAGAACGACATGAGATTTTATTTTAATTGAACTACCGAACATTTGTCTTGAGTAGCTTAGTAAGGTATCACTTTGATATACACAATCTTTCTGTTTGTTTTTTACTTAATAAATAGGAGCTTAGCACCATAAGACATATAGGTCAGATTGTAGGTTCTATCGTTAGGTTAGTTTGTGATCTACAAAGCGTTATAACTTGTGACCCTTGTTCCCTGTTAATATATCACGCGATGTGATCGTCAATTCGAGTCACTGACTTATTGACAGGACCAATGGCACATAAACCAGTACGAGCAGTCTAGATTTCTTATTGATCCTTGAGATAATAGCTTCTCGTCTAATCCAGCCATTTCAGTCCAGAAAGCAAATATCAGTCTCCGTTATATCGAATCATATCTTTCAAACATACAAGCAAAATCAGACATCACACCATAAAACAGAAGATAACGTTTGTACAAGATCAATAAAAAAATGGATATGATTGTGAGAAACTGTGACTAATAGGTTGAGAATAACTTGAGAATAGTAAGTCATATAACAGTACCAAATAGGTCAAATAAAAGCTTATAATAAGAGGATTATAAATGTACATAGTTTGGTTTCTTAACAGTTATATAATAGGAATATGTGTATAGTATTAGTCCATAAATAGTTCTCAGAAGTTACCTATAATTTAATCATCACTAGGATATAACACATAGGTGTTCCTCTCAAATTGTTTCACGTCTGTAATAATTTGACTAAGTGTAAAATGTTACTTATCATTTGTAGCTCAATAATATATGTGATTATGAACTTGCAACGTTTGCGGTTATCTATTCACGGTCTATGCTTATCAAGCTACCGTTTGTGGGAATTAAATGTAGATGTCAATAAGTTAGTGTGACCAAATTTAGCTATTTCAATAAGTAAAAGCTAATTATTCCGCCGACTATCTGATATCAGCATTCTTTGTGGCATGTTTACATAAGACTTTGAGAAGTGAACGAAAATTGACTTAAAACATAGACCATATCTTTTGCTATTGGTTTTGGTTCACAATCACATATGTGACAAAACGCGTAACTATGCTGAACACTATAATTAGCAAGTGAATATTTAGTTTAACCTATCTGTCACATTAATAGATAAGTAGACAGTTGTATTTATACTGGGTTTTAAAAGTTTTTAAGCCTGTTTACTATATCCATCGTTGTCCAAGTACAGTGAGCCGTTAATTGGATCACTATTGTTATTGATACAGACTATCCTTGCTATATCATTTTAGTTGTCAGTGGTCTAGCTCATGAACTGAGTATACCAAGATTTTCATTCAAGTAATAAGGGACTTTTAGATTCTGTGCGTTTTGGTTCAATAGAAGTTGAAGCCTACGCTTGAAGAATGGTTTAAGAATAATCTCAAAATGCATAACTTAATTCAAACGCAGCGAATGTTTAAAAATACTCAGTTAGTTGGCATCAGTCACCATAAATTGGAGGTAAATGTAATCACAACTTGGTTGTATTTTTCACATTATCAATAAATCATAGAAATTACTACTTTCACAGCCCCTAATCATATAGCTAAAAGACCAAACGTGCGGTATTAACTGCTCTAATATTGTAATCCACAGCTCACGTGATTAAACAAGTAAAATACCAGACTATATCGTACCACAATTTATGAATCATAATAGGTACGTAACTAAAACATGTTTACTACTAAATCGAATAAACCATTGATAGTTAACTGACTGTTTTTGATCAGTAAAAGTTATAAGAGGGACTACATAAAACTACCATTGAATAACTCTGACAAATACGACTTAAATCTATACATACGTACATACTAACTCACCAAAGAGTAACTGTGCAAGTTTCATGTTTCCTTACTTTCCACGTTTTCATAACAAATATAAAATAATCATTCACAAGATAAGTGTATGCATATATATTTTTCTGTCGATTCGAAAAAATATTTTTCTCAATTAATAAAATGTTTATTTATAGACTCATGCGCGGCGACTTTCACTGGATTCAAAGCTAGTGAATCCCTCTCCTAACAGACAAAATAACACCAGTAATTCTTCACGTTCTGCGCGACCATCACGTTCTTCTAATTCCAATAGTTCTTGTGGGTCACCGTCTATGCCTCCACCTCGACAAACAAAGACGTTGGCTGCCATGAGAGAGAAGCTGCGGGCAAAACGTATGTTAAAGGAATCTGAACGCAGTATGGTGGGTCAGCGTTTTTATGGTTTGCCGGGCAGTATGACTCCACATCCTTCGAGTGGTTCAAGTGGGTACTTCCAGAATCGCAATTACTCCACCCCTGTCAATTTTACCCCTTTGGGCGAAACCGAAAATAAGCAGTCACCGTCTATGTCTTCGCCTCCACTCAGAACTCCTATCTCGCCATCAGCAAATGATGGAAGTGTTCATTCTGTTAACGTGTCATCTTTGCAAAGTGAAAATCAAGAGATAACTAGACCTAATTTGGCATCTGAAAGCCCTTGTTCCCCACTTTCTGCTCCTAGTATTAATGTCATGTCTCCACTACCTTCTGTAAACAACTCCTCTTCCGAAAACATTACTACTACTACTAACAGCAACCTCGATAACTACACTTACTGCTCTAATAGTTTCGCTCAGTCGTATCCGTCTTCTCCTCATCTGTCAAACTCGAATGCTAGCATTGTTCTACAACATTCAGTTTTTTCACAGTTGCCTAGTCCTATGCATCCCACTAAAACACATCGCTTCGAACAGAGTGTTTCCGCACCACCTACTCCCTCTAATGTTCAGTCAGGGCAGAATTTTACAAACTACCTACATCAACCGGGGCATTCTTTTTCATCTATAGGACCATGTTCCAGCTCTTCCGCTCCTTTACACACGTCTCAAGTAAGTCCAACTGCGTCTTTTGGTTCATACCCATCTCCAGTGTTTGGCGGTAAGTCCTCAGTAACTTCCAGTGTTCGAGCTAGCACTTCTGATTCATACTCTTCACAAATTGTAACTCAACCAGTTTCAGGTAGTAGCTGTCCTACGAGTAGCATAAGTTCTGTAGTCTCAGAAGCTATAGTACCGTCAAAGTCATTTTGTCAAGCTCTCCCTATTCTTATGGAACCTACAACTTGCCCAGTTCAAGCAACAGTAAAATCTATTCCATCCTTGGACACTATTTCTATCAGCCCTTTGACATCTGTTTCTAGTGTTACCAAACTACTTACTTCTAATTCACACCAAAGTCGCTCTTCAACAACAACCCGCGCATTCTTTGTTGATGGCGATAATTTATCTGAAGCCGTCGCGTTCCTCCAGAGTTTAAATCCAAAAGCTACAATTACTCAACAACAGTTTTTGCTCATCCCTGGTGCAAATAAATCTCAGATGATTTTGTGCAGAGCACCTGTAACCTGTTCATCCGAAATTATATCTCCTGTTGCAACGCAAACTTCAGTTTCTGTATCACGTGCTAATTTAACTTCTTGGTCCAAAAACGTCTCTCATATAACAACTTCAAGTACAACAAGTGTGGGGAACACACATATTACTGTTCCTACGTCTGTTGTTCCGAACGATGTTTCACTACCGACAAACGTTACTGAGAAGAGCTCCACGTCATATAGTACACCATTTTTTGAACCCTACCGATCCAACAACTTCTACGCAACCCAGTGCAGTAGTGACAGTTCATTTCCAAAATTAATGAAAACTTCAGAATTACAAATTCCTCGTTCTCTAGTTTATTCCAAATCAATTAATGTTCCTTCATCAAATGGTTCATCATTTCCTCTCAATATTCTAATTTCTCATCCTAAAGCATTGGAAGCCAGCAGTGAGCGTACGTCCCTACTTCAAGTTGTAAAATCGGTTTCCTCTCCTTCCAAGGTAGCTATTCCATCGTCTGCTAATTCTGTTTCATGCTCATCTCGCACATCTGTTCCTACTGTTCTTAATTACAAGCAGCCTGTGTCCCATTCACAGCTTAATGTATCGTTGTTAACCCCTGGACCTTCCGTAATCAATAATGAAGTCCCTATACTTTTTGTCCAGGATCGTAACCAACATCCTATAAGATCCCAGACTCCAACTCGACCTGTCAACTGGGTTCAGCGCAGTTCATTCGATCAGCATACGGATCTTACCGATCGATCAACCATCAGTTTACCCATTTTGTCTACTGCAACCGTGATAACAACTCATGCAAACAACCCCGGTGAATTTCGTTGTTTTTCCCATCCAGTAGCTCGATCTGGACCGTCCATGCAACTTTCTAACAATGGCTCTGTCTCCAGCCACTTTGGTTTCCAACCAATTCAATCTGTGCAACCGTCTAACCCTACAGGAAAATCTTTGGATTGTACTCCATTCTTATCCGGCCCAACTGCAACTATTATGTCTCCATGCCTACCTGCTGTCATACTTTCACATCCTATAACAATTCAGTCAACTAGTAATATCACTCCCTCCCAACAGAACATTTTTAACCGATCTCTGCCCTAAGCAGGGTACTAAAGGATTTAATTGATTTTTCTGAATAATTATTTACCAGTTACTTAGTTGATCGCTTATCAAATGGGAATACTTGGATAGTATATGTTTTGGATACATTAGGAAGCAGTTCAGTCATTTTGCAGAACTCAAACATGGATTTTATGTTTTTTCTAGAGCTCGTTAGTTCTCGTTTATTATTGAGTTCCTACAAATTATAGCATCATCAAAATTTAGTTATGGTGTATCACTTTTGCGTTACTTTCTTTCAATTACATTGGGATGCATTCTTTTCCGTTTTAATTTAAAACCAGTTTATCCCCATCAATTGCTAGGTTACAATTGTCATTTCAGCATACTGCTTTCTTAATCTCACTTTCTGAAGCAAAACTAGTCCCTGTTTTCCTTTATACATAAATATATATGTATGTCCTCAAACTTGTTTGCGTATGGACGTAGGGCATGGCATATTATGTTTCTTTTATCCTTACTGTTACCTACGTTTTATAGGTACTTTGTATCTCCCTCTTTTTACAACCAGTTTCACAAATGTGAATTTCGCTGTTTTTAGCAGTCCCTTATTTTTAAAACATTGGGTCAATTTCCTTACACTGCAATGTTTAAAATATCTTTCTTAAATCCTATGTATTTACCTTCATTAGTCTGCTTCAAATAAATGTCTTCTATTTACTTAGAATACATATTGTTTTGGAAGTAAATTCATGGCTGTGTCCATTTAGAAATCTTTTTCCTTGACCATGTTTTTGCACCTTTGTTCATACTACCTACTACTTATGCTATCTCCGCACATACCAAGCAATTTTTAAATATTCTGTCCCATAATACTTATTTTATTTCTTATTTAAGGCAAAACTAATCGTGTTCGTTTACTTTTTCTATTGCCGTGCTGCTCATTTTTATACCTCACCTAATAATTAACTCGATTTTTCACGATGTGTGGTATTTAGTTGTACAGTTTATTTGTTTATTCCAAATACCCCTCCACACCATTATCTTACTATTTCACGTTGCTATCTAATTGATCATATATATATATATATATATATATATATATATATATATATATATATATATATATATATATATATATATATATATATATATATCTTACTACAGTTTTACTACTTAATATATCGTTCATTTATCAGAATGGTGAACATTGTGTTTCCTACATCTTTCACTGATCCGTTTATCTCTAGAGCCAAAATGTAAGTGTGTACAATATGTTGGTGGCCCCTAAGGTAAAAAAATTCTTTATAATACTGAAATTCATATGCGGGATACTGAGTAGATGCATAAAGTCTTTGGTTTAACGCGTAACAGTAATTGTGTACATTCTTGTCAATTTAGTCAACGAAGTGTCGTTTGCTACCTTAGTACAGATGTTTGTTCCTAGATTGTGACTTGGTATCGTTATCAATTCGCAATTGAAAACCATTAGATATTACAGCTATGATTGTTTCACTGAGCCATTGTCACAGTTCTAAGTTCAAATTTTCTGACTAGTATGATTTAAACTATTCAATCTGTCATTTACTAAACAAATATGTAGGACATACAAATATAAACACGTGGGACTCATGAATAGTAACTGTAGAACATTTATTTTTAGACGAATCATTTACAAGAGCCAAAGTTACCCATTCCGATTTACATTTACTGATGGTATAAATGTAAATAATTAATATAGGATTCCTCACTACCTAATCAGTGAATATTTCAGAAATATCTAGACTTTTATGCTATCTAGTTTAAATCAGTGATTTTTAGTCATTTTTGATCTTTGACTCGTGAGGTCTCAGGAATTACGATATCAGTTTCTTAGTGTAATGTTAAAAATTACACAGGCAAATCAAATTCGGTATTTATTCATTGAATACCTGTGGATTATGTAGTGACAAAATGTGATTTTATCTCTTATAAGTTAATGAACTTTCAGTGGAATAGTATATCGAAGGATCGACATAATTATAGATTACACGTTAAAATTTAAGTGCTCAGAATTCTCTCAGTGAATTATTAGCGGGCAGCATTCTTTAGTTTGAGGATACCATGTCAACCGTAAATACTTATTTTCTTATACTTATGTGTGGATTTTGGGCACAATTTCATTCGGACGGTGATTTCTCAGAAAAGTACGATTTATCATAATTTAGTTAAATTATTCTTGGGAATTACTTTTGATACAAACTGAAAGATATTTCATTGGTAAATAAACTGGTTTACATTGAGAAAAATATGGATGCTGTCACTCACCAATTTTATCATTTATTTACGACATTAATTTAGCCCACTTAAATAACCTGTTTACGGGGATAGTAGATGTTCTGTTTCAACATCAACTACTGAAATGTTGGTCCATTTACAATTTCTCATGCAAACTATTAGTTCTGATTAGTAAGGAAACCATCTACTTAACAGTTTGCTATAAACAACTGAACTATCCTCGTTTCCGTTCTTTGAGTTGTTTCCTCTCCAAAATATCCACTCAGTATCCTTGGTTCCAAAGAACCTTTAATGTCTGCTCTACGACCACGACTTCACCTATTCTCTAAGATATCTTTGAAATCTAGTCGGTAAGCCATTGCCATAGTAAGTAAGTTACATAAACGGAGAGATGACTAACTATAGGGGACGTGCTTAAGAATAATGACAATTTGCGCGAAATAATATTAACACGAGATAAAAAATGAACCCATATGTGCCACTCCAACCACTAATTACGATTGTCAGGCGCATTCCAGCCACGTATTTTGTACCTACTCACATACTTCGGACCAACACTCAATGACTTTGTAGGCTGATGACGTGTATTGCTTTGATCGCCCCTACGCCAAACACCATCGCGTGTCGAGGTAGTCATTGGTTTGGCATATGTAATATATATTCTAGTCACCTCAGTTGAAGAATATTCACAGCCTCATCAGCTGACTTGCCATATTTACTTAGTGAGTTGTTTTACCACACACGAAGACCTCTATGATCGAATATTAGTAGTGTAGAAATGTATTCTACTCTTGAAAGCCATACTTCATAATCATAGAGTAAAACCCAGCAAACTCCTACATAGTATACTCGCCCCTTAACAAGTAGATAGGCATCTCTCCTACCCCATAGGTGCGAAAGCCAATCTAAATTTGCTTACTCTTCACCCGATGGTCACACTAGGGTTGGATGCAGAGCGGTCCTGAAACAGTTTGCACTAAGAAGTAAAGTGACCCGTCTCAAGCATTCTTGTATTGTTACTCAAACTGTTCAGAACACCATATATCGTCGGCATCTTCAGCAGACAGAACTACATTAACTGGACACTAAAGTAATTAATGAGTCAAATAGTAGGTTAACCCTTGAATGTCAGGCGGATGAAGTGCTATTTCTAAGTGTATAGTCGTGGAAAAAAAACTAGATAAATGTATGGATACGGTTAACCTTAATGGACACCATGTTTGACGGACAATTCCGTTATGAGATCTGTCTCGACTATTAGTTCCAGTTAAAAAAACTTTTAACTGCTTAATGTTACGTCTAAGAAAATTGCCTGTATCGCAGACTTATTGCTTTATTTTCGCTTGTCTGGTATCTTGAAATAATGGGCTGAGCATCATATTCTTTAAAATTTACCAGTCCGCTCCATATCCTTCTTCAATTTGTCTCACTTCCAATTTCTTACTACTGTTTATGTGATTATTTTATCTTCGAATCCATCATCTGACATTAAAAATTGTGGTATTTCTGTCGACCTACAGGGATACAATTATTATATAGACCATCTCCATACATAATGGAACCAATCACAGTTTTCATTCTATTGTCAAGTAATAAGGGATTTTTCATATTTTCATCCTATCTTATTTGTCGTTCGTGTGAGTCAGGACGTAAGCGACTTGTGCACAACATTCTACGTTTGTCTATACATTTGTTACCTTGTTGTATATATATGATGGTTGCCACCTAATGTAAAACTAACTTATTCATTAATCGTAAACACATGATGTAGAATCCTTGAATGAATATTGAGTGTCTTTTATTTTATACAAGAAAAATTCTTCTAATATGTGTGTGCAAATATCACATGGAAATCTTATTACCTGTAATTAGTGAATTATATCATTCAATTTCTGACTGATTACTCTGTTGTAGGATATTTAACATTAAAAAATTTGAAGTGTAAGTGGGCTGTGAGTAGGTGACATATACTTTGAACAAGCGTTTCATCACTCATATTTATCAAATGAAATAATTTTTTGTATATTTAACTTTACATAAATATAAACCAGAAATTATCAATAATATATTAGTCTACTCATTCATATTTGTAAATCAGTGACTGATAACAATGCTACCAGTATTTTCAAACTATGGTCACACATATAAAACATAATTTTTGTTATTCACACATTTAAATTTGTGGATGTGCTTTGGGTTTTAATGATCTCTGTACGTGTGCTCAGTGACATAACAGTGACAGTTTCAAAACATTTGGGGTTAGTTAGGTATTAACAATTAAGCTCGGGAAATGAACTAATGGAATCCAGGAAAATACATTTTAATTATTTTGTTTTCTAGTAACTTGGATCGATCACTAATTGCCTAGTAAGAAGAAAAATGGTCTTCACGATATTCATCTGATTTTTGTATCATAATACATTCTACTGTTCTATTATTACATGAATGAAGTCAACGTTATCATAACAACTACTGTTGACACTTGATCTGAAATATACTTTACACAATATACTGGTTAGGTTTTTCCATAAGACTCAAACAGCCTAGTCTGATATATCGTTCAATATGTAAATGATATCCTAATTATCGGCAGGTGATCTTTGTTGTTTAAAATGTGACTCACTGAAAATATTTTTATGCCTGAAGTCCACGTTACGATCATATTTATCAGATCACGTTAAGCTGCAAAAAGGCTTGTGTGTTTTTCCTATAACTTCAGATTAAATTACTCAGCTATCTTAAAATATGTCATTTGTCTAGATAAACCTGTAAACTAAACTAAGTTTAAATTCACTTGGTATTGTTTTACTTGAATCTTACCATTGATGTTTAGGACTGCAATTGATCAGTCTCTTGTTAGCATATGTACATACTGTGCGTATTACCTCGATATTGTCTTAATTTACCAGCATTATAAGCACAGGTGGATAGTGGATAATGGGAAGATTCAAGTAAAACAATACCAAGTGGATTGTATTTACTCTTGTCTTTGTAACAACCTAGGTTGGTTGCTTAAGAGTTGACCGTAAACATCTCAGTAAATGTCAGAACATTAAAACTCAAGCATTCATTCACGTTCTTATTTCGTATAGGGATTATATTCCTTATTATTTTACATTGATTGTTGAAAAGCGTTGTGTGTATTGCCTGGATATTGTGAATGAAGGCAATACACACAGAATGCACATACGCCAACACGCGACTGATAAATTGCAGTCCTAAACATCAATGGTAAGATTCAAGTAAAACAATACCAAGTGAATTTAAACTTCACCCCATTGGACAAGTAAGTGGCTATCAGAACTCAGTAAATAAGTGGGTAATGCGATGGCGTTTGAAGCGAACGGTAGTGAGTTCGAGTCTCAGAGTGAACATCAACTCTGAGGTGCAGGTGCATCCACCTGAAGAGTCCCAAATAGGATGAAACGCACGTCCTGGATTCCACTGCTAGCCACTATCCATCTTGGCTTAAACTAAGTTTAGCCTAGTTTCCTTTCAGAATATCGTTAGAGTTTAGTGCATGCAAAATTTCAGTTTATAATCCTATTATCAGCTTGCTAATTTTTTACTTTAGGTACAGATTTTTCTTTCAGTTTGAAGTCTTAAGTTGTATCAATTTCATAACATATGCAATACGCGGATTAATGTTTGTGTAAAATGAGAATTACTTTGTGCTTTATTGCCCGGTTTATTCGAGTTACAATATAAAACCTGCACGTGTGTTCACAATCTTTTTTTCTTGATTTCTGGTCTCTTCGTGACCACTAGAGTACGTGTTAAACGAATCTGGGAATTATTAGTTTGTAGATAACATTCAATA